AGCTTATGAAAGCTGCTAAACAAAATACTATCAAATAAAATAAACAAAATAAAAAAGCATGCAATTAATGTGCTCATATTACACAACTTCAAATAAATAAATAAATAGATAGATAAATAAATAGATAAATAAATAAATAAATAAATAAATAAATAAGGAGGATTAAACCATCAGTCACTACATAATGCCTTAAATCATTCTCTTTTAACTCTAAGCTCCTTAAATCTGTATATCCGTGAGCAGTCTGCCACAGATAGATTTTGGTATGATGACACCAAGGCAAAATTTGCTAAAGCAAGGTAGAAGGACCCTTGCACTGGCTTGTGGAAAGGATACAACCTGTATTAATTTGGGGTCAAGGATATGTCTGTGATTTTTTTACAGGAAGAAAACAAAGTTTGATGATATGACTATGTGTACAGCAGAAAGATTTCTAAACCAGTATTCCTTACTTACAACATCATGCTGCAGTCTGAGAAAGGAAAAAAGATTGTGTTGATGACTGTTGACTCCTAGTTTCTTGGTGGACCTGATGCACAAACTTTCAGATCTTGGTACATCTTGTTTACTTTGGAGCCAGTTCAAGGACACTGACTAAATATTTGACAGTTTACCCACACTTTATCTTAGGACACAGAACTCATTTTGCCAGTGTGGTATTCAATCTGCTGTCCTCAATATTCCTCTCTGGGTTAAAAAGACTCATTACAAGGAGTGACTGAAAGCTCTCATCAGAAATGAAGAGGGTAGGGTAGCCTAAAGGTTTTTGCTGCTGCTCAGACTGGGACAATTACTTAAAAGTAGTAATGCAGTTGGACTCTCACCCATCACAGAAAGTTTTTCTTGTCTTTTGATTAGAACAGCTTTAAGAGAATTGTGGTTTGACACATTGCATATTAATTGTTAATTTCTACACTAGAATTATGATATTGACCTGTTAATGTTTATAACTGCTTTGTTTCACTATAAAATGTTACTGATTAAAAAAGATTAAAACTGGTTTAAGAGAAGTTTGACATTACCAGTAAGTTCTTGGATTTACCATGTTTAATAAGACAAATTTAGATTTTAATACAGCTAAAAAGTGTTAATTCAAAAAAACAAATTCCAAAGGGCATTCCCACCTCTGGTGATCTTCCACTCCTTTAATTGGGAGATACTGTAGCTGTAGGAGCATGTGTATCACAAAACATTATCTGTTGACACATGACTATCTCATTATTGGTAAACTCTCTTGACAAAAAGTTGACTCAAAGGCATAAGGTACCTAAAAATACACTCTCCCTTAACCCTTTGCTTACCGAGGTTGGCAATCAGAGATGGGTAAGACCTTTTTTCCCTCAGGTTCTACCAAAGACAGGTAAGTCTAAAAAAACAGCAAAAAATGTTCACCTAAGGCAGACATGATAATCTGTCCTGTAGCAAAAGCTCAGGCTTTATAAAAATTAATAAAAAGGGAGGAATATGTGGAGGCCCAAAAATGTGAGCCTATTCCAACTTGTCTGAAGATCAGAGAGTTTGCACTTATTCAAGGTTGTTAAGAACCTAACATTTCTAATCCTCGCACCCTTACCCTGAAACATACAAACTCACCACAGATAGGATTGCAGTAAAAGTCACCCCAAAAATGTGGCTCACAACAACATAGGTATACCTTTCTTGGGTATATACACAAAGGAATCTAAGTTAATACACACCAGAGATACTTGCACATCCATGTTTCATGCTGTAGTACTTAAAATAACCAGGAAATTCAACCAGCCAAGATGCCTGTCAACAGATGAACACATATAAAAATGTGGTATGTATGCATAATGGAATATTATGCCACTACAAAAAAAACTGAAATCATCACATTTTCAACAAATGGATACAATTGTAAACTAAAATCTGGTTTTATCTTCTATTGTATCTCATCCCATGGCTAGCCCCATTTCATAGGTCCAATAATAACATTTTTTTTCTCCTAGACACCTGCCTTCTTACCTCCCTTAAGAAACAAATGCCTGACATTTCCGGGATGACAGTGATGAGAACGCTATACCACCCGCTGAACATGCGCCCACCAACACCCAGCTCTCCCCTCCCCACCCATGTCACCCTATGCCTGCAGGAAGTAACCAGACTTGAGTCTGCACCCCGGTTTTTCCAAAGAAAGCCTATTACTTCAACTTCCTGTCACCCCTATATCCAAAGAGTCTGGAATGTTAAGTCTGGAGTGTAACTCCAGCCCCTGGCATCCATCCCAGCCCCCGTGACCTGGGCATATATTGGTCTGGACTCCAAATCCCAGCATGCCAGGTCCTGACAGGGTATTTAAGTGGGCTCCCAGAGGAGAAACACATGGTTCTGGGTTTGCTTGTGCTCCCCGCTTTCCTGTTTCCCCACCATGCGCTCAGCCACCTGAGAGCACCATACTTAATAAAATGATGGGCATTTTAATTTGGTTTGATTTGACCTAATTGGATTTTCTTGTGCTGGTGGAGCTGCCCCTTCTTAGGATTTTTGTCTTAATGGGAATATACCACCTGAGAGAAAATATTCACAAGCCACCTAGCAGAGAACTTCCCACCAGTGTGACAAATACATGAGAAAACCAATTTATAAAGAAAAAGAGGTTTATTTCTGTGCACCATTTTGGGGTTTTCAGTGGTTGAAAGGCTCAAGTGGAGTTTGTTGTGAGGCAGTACATCACAGCAGGGAGCACTCAGAAGAATATCTCATAGTGTTGATGCAAAGAAAAAGTGATGAAGAGACCCATGGGCCTACAGTCTCTGTCATGAGCCAGCCTAGAAGGATCGCCTACTGGCCCCACCTCTTAAAGTTTCTATAACCTTCCTACAGCATCACAGACTGTAGAACAAGACTTTAACACATCTGTCTGTGGAGGACATTCTAGGTCTAAACTATAGAATCACATAGCCACCAAAGACTTAAGATGTAGAACATGTTTTTGAAATCTCAAAAATTAATAATAGGAACAGGGAAATAACTTAGTGAGTAGCAGCACTTGACACACAAGAATAACAACCTGAGTACAGATCTCTGGATCCCATGTAAAAGTTGGACACCATGGTACATGTTTGTGATCCCAGTACTCCTACAGCGAGTGGGAGGTAGAGACATGAGAATCCCCTAAACCTTGGAAGCCAGTGAATCTGCAATAGGAAGCATGGGAGAATCAAGAGGGATCGTACCTTGACAAAATAGAAAAAGAGGACCAGTTCCCAAAAGCTGTCCTCTGACCTCCACAAACGGACTATGGCACAGAACAAGTAACATTGTATGTACACATACACAGAAATAAATGAATACGTTTCTTAAATCAGCAATAAATAACAAACATTATCAAACTCTTCACCAAGAACACAAAGACAGCTAATAAGTATATGCTGTCCTTAGCCTCTCTTCTCATCAATGTTTAACCAAACTCCTCACTTCCCTAACACCATCCCCATTGCCTCCCACCTTCCTTTTTCCTCCCCCAGCCCTGTCTTCCTATGAACAGTATCCTAGCAAGGTACTCCCAAACCTTGTGCAAAGTCAGGCAACCTGATTTGATCCTCACAGTTTATTCCCATCTACTCCATGCTGTGAACCTCATCTTAGTATCCAGGGGAAGTCAATCCCGGACACTTAAATTGTCCCAAGTCAAGTAAAAGCTGAGAAGTAGGGCAAGGTGGTAAAGAAAAGAGGGGCTTTCAGCCTTACAAAGAGAACTGAACACAGCTGTGTACAGCAGGGTTCCTTCCGCTGCTGCCCTCATCAAGCTATAGAGGCCACCAGCTTCTTTCTACTTTCTTGTTCTCAGATCAGCAAGAAATGGACTAATTTGTGGTTTTCTATTCCTTAAGCAGCAAAAAGCTTTCAAATCAGTGTTAAATGTGGTGCCTAATGGCCAGCAAGCTAACCTCTAGCTATCTCACTATGGAATTTGCTGAAAGTCAGGGAGTATGACTGGTTAAGTGCCGAACAGATTAGCAGCTTCAGAGAAGGGGAAGTTAGTGTGGGGTGGTGGTGGTGCATGTGTGTGTTAAACTCTGTATATGTATGTGTTATGAGGTTTGTGTTGTGGGGTGTTTCTATATGTGGTATAAGGCGTGTATGAGAGAGAGAAAAAAGAGAGAGATGGGGTTGTGCGTATATATGTGTGTTAAGGAGGATGGAGATAGGGGTACAGTGTGTGTTAAACTCTGTGTGTGTTATGGGGTTTTGTTGTGAAATATATGTGCTGTGAGATGTGTGTGTGTTTGATGTGGGGTGGTATGTGCATGAGGGTTGGGAAGAGGAGTGTGGTGTGTGTGTATCTGTATGTTATGAAGTGTTTGTTATTTGTGTGTGTTGTGTAGTATATGTATATGTGATGTGAAGTGTGTGTGAGATGTGGGGTGGTGTGCATGTGTGTGTTTGCAGGGGTTGTAGGATAGAGATTTGGGATAGGATGCATGTGTTTGTATGTGTATTAGACTCTGTATATGTCTTGTGGCGTTCATTTTGTGAGGTGTTAAATGTGTGTGTGGAGTGCATATCTATGTGGTGTGAAGTATGTGTGTATTATGTGTGATGGAGTAGGGTGGGATGAAGCAGATGTGTATATGCATATGTTGGTGGAGGTATGCAAGGTGTGTTTTGTGTGTGTATGTGTGTTTTCCACAGGGACAGATGTACCCAGAATAAAAACAGTGGAGGGTGGAGGCCTTCAGGATTCTTTGAAACTCCCAGGTGGAACCTAGGTCCTACACACATCCTGCATGGACTTTTCCTGCCCAGCTGGGATATCCTGTGTTTGTCAAAAGGACTACACAGGGAAGCCATAACCATTGTCCTTCCTGAAATCTGCCAGTGTGCCCCTCCCCAGACTGAGGCAGCCGCCCCATGCAGAGGAAGAATGACTTTGGAAATGCGTTATCAGCATCCTCCATGGATTTCCTCATCTCCTGCCCAACCCCATTAGCTGCTAGCTCCTTAGCATCCTCAGACAGAAACCTCAGAGGCTGGGATAGGGTCAGCATCCTGCGGCCAGTTGCTTTTGACAGTTTCCTTTCTGGTCAAGCCTGGTCTCTGTGCTGCTGACTGTTCCTCTCACCACCGCAGCTGCAGCGCAGAAAGCGGGATGGAGCCCCTAGCTGGAGCTGACACTGCCACCTTCCACCAGCGCTGGCCAGCCCGGCTGCTGCTGTGGGTCTCAACCCTGAGCTGTTCTTTCTCCTCACCAGCTTCTCTCCCTCCGTCCCTGGTACCCCGAGTCAGAAGCAGCTACACTCTGGAAAGGACGTTCCTCGGTCTTGATAAATGCAATGCCTGCATCGGGACATCCATTTGTAAGAAGTTCTTTAAAGAAGAAATAAGGTCAGAATCTCCATGAAATAATTCTGAGGAGCAAATTAAGCTTCTCTTAGTGTGAAGAGATCTAATTTACGGGTGGGAGCTAGAGGAAGGCATTTAACAGTGGTAACTGCTTGACATAGAAGGGCAAGGGTGGAAGCCAAATTCTAGCCCTAAATGCTAAAATATAAGGTTCCACTTGAAACTGAAGGCTGAAATTTCTTTTCTATGACTGGGGTGGCCTGAGACTGTTGAGTTTTCCTACTCATTCCTCATAATGGGAAGAATAAAGTATATAGGAAGCTACTATGTGGCAGACATTTTAAACCATTCCAATCTCAGGTGTTGACAGTTTGCACCATTATTCAGACATTACAGACATGGCAGGATTAAGGGACTTGCACTAGGCAGACCTGGGATACAAAGACAGTTTGCTCCAACATTTCAGAGCCTGTCTTCTGCTGTGTGATAATGATCTGAGGAAAATCGGAGTTTAGTTCATGAGAGATGTGTGTCTCTCATCAGAAAAAGGCATTCGTGCCGATCAGTACACAGTCACAGGAAATTTAACAAGGCTAGAAAATAGCTGGGACTACGTGGGAGCAGCCACCATAACTTTCCCCCTTGTGTTCTAGGTGGGCAGGAGAAAGGACAATATTACAAATAATGATGCAGGCCAGAGTACAGAAGTGCCAGACAGGGGACACTGATTACAGAGAGAGATTTTCTGGGGAGAGGACTTCTGAGCAAGGTCTTTCAGGGTGAACTGCGGATTTTACAAGGGGAAGGCAGAAGAATGATCATAAACATGAGTAGAAGTGTGTGGGGAGAGATGAGAGGTATTAGTGGCTGAAGCCCTGGGTATAGGTGGATATGGGCAGAGGAGAAGCCTGGAATGACACGTGAGGCACAGTCTCTTTAATGTTTAAATTTTTAATGTTTAAAAATTTAATGTTTAAAAATTTCCAAGAAATGGAAAACTTAGCTTTCAGTATTTTTCAGAACCAAAGACCTTTTGACCGACACCCTTTCTCCTCTTCTCACCTCACTGAAACCTAGCCTTCTGCCCGTAAGATGCTGTGACCAAACAAAAGGCATAAGCAATAATATACAACCTCTCCATTAGCCAGATATCTATGATTGTTACACTAAGTTACTAAAAAGAAACAATAGAAAAGTTCAATCAAAAATGTTAAATTTCTTTTTCTATTTTGCTTTTTTATTACTACATATTCATTCTACAAAATAATGGGCTTCCTTATAACATTGCCATGCACGTATATTATGTGCCTTAGTAGTGTATATTCCATTACTTTTTCTTGAGCGCCTCTTCCCAATAACCTTCCTCTTCTCAAATCGTTCCTCTTTATTTTTATTTCATATATTTTTTTAAAAAAAATTAGGTCCACATGTGAGAAAAATGTGGTATTTGTTTTTCTGAGTCTACCTTATTTGATTTACTATGATGATCTTCAATTTCATCCATTTTCCTAAAAATGACATAATTATGTTATTCTTTATGGTTGCATAAAACTCCATGTATATGTGTGTGAGAGAGACAAAGACAGTGACAGAGACAGAGAGACAGAGAGAGGAAGACGAGAGAGCGAGAACATTAAACTTAATTTTTATTTTATTTCATGCTTGTGTGTGTTTTGCCTGCATGTGTGTCTGTGCATCAAATGCATGGCTGATACTTGAGGAAGCCAGAACATGGGGATAGATCCTCTAGGACTGTAGTTACAGACAGTTGGCTGCTGGGACTCCAATCTGGTTCTGCTCTAAAAGTGCTTTCTTAACACCGAGCTATATCCCTAGATCTATTAAACTTCCTCTTATAATTTTAGATGTTTTAGAGAATTTATGTGGACATTTGGTATTAAGAATTTTCGGTTTCTGTTTTCTTCTTCCTGGTGATGAAATGAAAACGCAGAGCCTTTCAAATGCAGCCAAGTGCTCTCCGGCTGACTAAAGGCTTTGTGAAGGTTGCAAAGTTGAACGATCCCTAATTAGGACTGCTCTGCTGCAGACAATGGGAAAGATGCTAAGCTGGGAGATAAAAATCCATGTTTCAGGGGGATCTTCCAGAAAGTCATAGGCAGGGTGGCCTGGGGTTGCTCTTAGGGACTGAAGAACCAGAAGAGAGATCACTTCAGAAAAAGAGGGCAGGAAAAAAAACATCTGGATTCACCTCTGTGTTCATTTTGTTGACTGATGAATTGTGAAAGGAAATACAGAGATGTTGAATTTGAACTCAGAAATTCCCACCTAGGAAGTGGGGTGCAGAGAACCAAGAACATAGTGAAGTGTGCTGATTACTCTGAGAGAGCAGCAAATGAAGATACAGATCCAGTTTAAACTGGGAAAGAAAGGGACTGCAGGATTCCAAAGAACAGCTCTAGGCTCCCGCCCTCCTTCATCAAATTCTAGATGCTTTTTCATGCAACACTCTTTCTTTAGAATTTAAGACATTCCATATGTACCTAAAGAGGAAGTATGCAGATGGACACAGGAAAACATCAAACATGGCAGGCTGGTGGGATTACAGCACTCTATGCTGAGAATGTTTAACCTCAACATAAAGAGACAAAAAATGTATGGACTTGCTCATCCCCTGCTTCACTACCTTGTCAACTTCCAATATCCAGGAGGATAACTATTGTTTTTCTTTGGATTCACCTTCTTATTTAGATTCTCTAGGATCACGAACTATAGGCTCAATGTCTTTGTTTATGGCTAGAATCTGCTTATGAGTGAGTGCATGCCATATTCCTCTTTTTGGGTCTGGGTTATCTCACTCAGTAAAGTGTTTTCTATTTCCATCCATTTGCATGCAAAGTTCAAGATGTCATTGTTTTTTACTGCTGAGTAAAACTCTAAAGTATATATGTGCCACACATTCTTTATCCATTCTTCTATTGAGGGGCACCTAGGTTGTTTCCAGGTTCTGGCTAATTACAAATAGTGCTGCTATGAACATTGTTGAGCAAATGCTTTTGTAATATGATTGGGCATCTCTTGGGTATATTCCCAAGAGTGGAATTGCTGGATGCTGAGGTAGGTTGACTTTCAGTTTCCTGAGAAACCACCACACCGATTTCCAGAGTGGTTGCACAAGTTTGCATTCCCACCAACAATGGATGGGTGTTCCCCATATTCCACAACCTCTCCAGCATAGGTTATCATTGGTGGTTTTGATTTTATCCATTCTGACAGGTGTAAGATGGTATCGCAAAGTTGTTTTGATTTACATTTCCCTGATTGTTAAGGAGGTTGAGCATGACTTTAAGTGTCTTCTGGCTATTTGAACTTCTTTTGTTGAGAATTCTCTGTTCAGCTCAGTGCCCCATTTTTAATTGGGTTAATTAAAATTTTAGTGTCTAGTTTTTTGAGTTCTTTTTTTTTCCTTTTTTTTTCTTTTTCTTTTTTTCTGACTCCCAGGTTTTTATTATTAAGACCAATTCGAGTCACACCACACTACCCGGTACAACTGACCCCTTGTCAATGTGACACACAAACACATCATCATTAAGCCACACCTTTTCTTTCTTAATTCATTCCCAAGATCTCACATTAAAAAATAAAAATAACTTTAAAAGTCCCACAGTCTTTGCAGAATCAAATATTAAAATTTCAGTCTCTTTTAAATATCCAATCTCTCTAAAAATTCAAAATCTCGTTTAAAAGATCAAAATCTTTCCATTGTGGGCCTCTATAAAAAATCATAAGTAAATTCGATATCTTCTTCAAGACGAAAGAATCAGGGCACAGTCACAACCTGAACCAAACTCCAATAGTGTAAATAAGTCCATGTCCACTGTCTGGGATCCACTCAGGATCTTCTGGCCTCCCCCATGGAGCTTGAGTCACTTCTCCAGGTCCGCCCTCTGCAGCAGGCACAGCTTGTCTTCTGGGTTCTGGCTGACTTCACCTACTGATGCTGCTTGGTGGTCATCCCTTGGTACCGGCATCTCCAAAATGCTGAGGACGCTTGCTGCAGCTGGGCTGCACTTTTACCAATGGCCTCTCCTGGATGCTCACAGTGCGAAGCCCCAACTGTTCTCCGTGACCCCTTCATGCCTTCAAAACCAGGACCACCTGGGTGACTTGCACTACCAAGTTCTGCTGCCGGCACAAAGTACAGCTTTGGCTGCTTCTGGAACACAGCTTGTGTATGGCTGACTCTGAGGAAACACTTCCCAGAAGATTTCACCTCGGTGATGCTGGCCTCTTACAATCACGGCTAATTTCTTAGCTCCAGCCGAGCAGCATCCATTATTGCCAGTGATGCAAAGGTTTCACTTCAGCGTTGCCAGTCTTTTGTTAATCGTGCTGAATCTTCAGCCCTGGCTGACCGGAACAACAGAATCTTTTTTATTCTTTTTATTATTATTTTTTCTTTTTTTATTATTCTTTTTTTTATTTATTAAAGATTTCTGTCCCCTCCCCGCCACTGCTTCCCATTTCCCTTCCCCTCCCCCATCAAGTCCCCCTCCCCCGATCAAGTCCCCCTCCTCATCAGCTCAAAGAGCAATCAGGGTTCCCTGCCCTGTGGGAACTCCAAGGACCACCCACCTCCATCCAGTAAGGTGAGCATCCAAACTGCCTAGGCTCCCACAAAGCCAGTACGTGCAATAGGATCAAAAACCCATTGCCATTGTTCTTGAGTTCTCAGTAGTCCTCATTGTCTGCTATATTCAGTGAGTCCGGTTTTATTCCAGGCTTTTTCATACCCAAGCCAGCTGGTCTTGGTGGGTTCCCAATAGAACATTCCCATTGTCTCAGTGTGTGGGTGCACCCCTCGCGGTCCTGAGTTCCTTGCTCGTGCTCTCTCTCCTGGTGCTCCTGATTTGGACCTTGAGATTTCAGTCTGGTGCTCCATTGTGGGTCTCTGTCTCAGTCTCCTTTCATCGCCTGCTGAAGGTTAATATTCAGGAGGATGCCTACATGTTTTTCTTTGGGTTCTCCTTCTTATTTAGCTTCTCTAGGATCACGGATTATAGGCTCAATGTCCTTTATTTATG